TTTACTAGTTTATATAATAATAATAATAACTAAAGAAAGTAAATGAAGTTGTTACCGGTAATCTTTTTCAATGTCATAATATTTCCTGCCAAAATGATCATTTTAAATTGTAGGTATTTAACTTTTGTTGGCCCAACATAATTTTCCATTGCCTACATGTATCAACAATTTGAAACACAAAAAATGAAAACATATAATATACAGCTTTATCGTGGGAAAGCTGACAATAGTGATCTATTAAAACTCTAGTACATCTAGTAAAAAGTGAGAATACTGGTACCAGAAAATGTCAAGATTGTCATTGACATCACCATTTTTTCATTAGTAATTTAAAAAAAAAATGATATTCATAAAATTTCACAACATTTTGATCTTAATAATTTTTGTTATTTAAATCCATTTGCTGCTTGGCATGTTTATTTGTTATTAACAAGAAGTGCCAACTACCGATGGTACCGAGATTTGTTAAAACTCATTTGATTTGTTTATTATTAGTGACAATTAGGCACTCTAATAAAAACAATGTTATGTTATAATATTAGTTGATAGTTACCTAGGTTACCAGCAAAGGAAGATTGGAGCAGAAGCACACCCTTAGTCATCAAGAAAAGATGACTTGTTATTGATATACACCTAGATCATGCCATAATGACCTGTTTTCATTGTATAAAGACCTGGCCTTTAAATGATAATAAACTTTATTGTTATGACAACCAGCATTTACCAACCAATATAACCCTGTATGTGGTAATACTGCCCCTACATATGTACCCTGGTCATTAACGAGTATTAGGGTTGGAAGGTCAATATAGGTGGGTTAAATTACCTGCGGAGGCTCCATATGAGGTTTATATCGCCTTCGTGATCTTGATTGGTTCTGGGATATAAACATTGTTAATTGGAGTTAAGAGTGGGAAAACAAACAATCACATTCCTTTATTGTGTTTTTTCATAACTTTCCAATCATATAAAAAAAAAAATTCTTGATAAAGTTTTCTGTTGTAAATACTGGACTGCAATATTGGTTACAGCAGAATGTGTGATTATTGTGCAGTAATTTTTTCATAAAGTCAATAATCAGTTATTATTAATAGTTAATTGTTAAGATTAGCAGGGGTGGGTGGGGCAACTTATCTATAATTAAATGTGCTGTACATGCATATCAAAAACACAAAATTATGGTAAAA